AGGCCCATGATCATCTCTGTTTTTAGAATTCCCAAATTTCACAAGAGTTGTTTAAGAACTTTTGTAGGTCAATCAATATTTGCAAGTGTAGATATTTTTGGTATAAACACTAAAAATGCTTTGGAGAGAAAGGCTAAATGGTTTTTATTTGCTTAATCTCAAAGCATCGTATTTTGCATAGTATTTCCATACATTTTCATTTTTAATGTGCATTTTCAACACTAGGTGTGTAATAATACATTAAGCAAACAAGCTTGTCTAGCCAGTGTAGTTATATTTGAATCTCAGCTTTAAGCCCTAAAATAACTGGAGAAAACAGTATGATGTCAGAAGAGAGAATAAAAAAGTACTTGCTCTGTGCAGGACTGCCCTAAGCATGTTATGTATATTATTTCATTTTGTCCAGACAACACCTTAGAAGGTAGACCTATTATTGTCTCCTATTTTATGGATGTGGACACTGAGGCACCAGAGAAGCTAAGTAACAGCTGTATTGGGTAGAGCTAGGATTCAGGGCCAGGTGGCCTGGCCAGGAAAGGGTCATGATTTAACCAGTTCTCTCTTTTGCCCCTACATAGCCTGGGGTGCACATCAACCAAGAATTATATAGACTCCTTCAAAACCTGCATCTTTATCTCCTCAGCCTTTCTTCTTTTTTTTTTTTTTAAAGATTTTTTTATTTATTCATTTGAGAGAGAGAGAGTGTATGAGCAGGGGGGCAGGGTCGGGGGGGAGGGTCAGAGAAAGAGGGAGAAGCAGGCTGCCTGCTGATCGGCTCGATCCCAGGATTCTGGGATCATGACCTGAACTGAAGGCAGAAGCTTAACTGACTGAACCACCCAGGCGCCCCTCCTTTCTTCTTTTCAATCTTCCTTTGCCTGATCTTTAGTATTTCTTTGCTCAGCAGCTTGTTCTCTTTTCCTTTTCCCTATCTCCTTCTCTCCAGCGGTCTTACCTTAAATCTCTACTTAAAATAAATATTACAATCATAGGATAATTAACAATAATAATGGCTAATCTTCACTGATAGCTTAGTATGTGTCAGGCACATACATATATGATACATGTGCTCATGGATGATTTTATATGAACCTGATAACCCTTGGAGTGTGCTAATTTCCCCCATTTGACAGATGGGGAAGTCGATCTTAGAGATGTTAGGTAGCTTGTTCAAGGTCATGCAGAGAGCCAGGGGCAAGGCTGGGATTTGCGCTGGGCAACATGGCACCAGATCCCATTTTTTGAGTCATTACTAAACAAGATTGCCTCCTGTTTGATTACTGTTTCTTCAAATTTTGCTTTTCTCCTCCAAAATACTAGAATCTTTCCCATATGCTCCCTTTCTTTGGATTGACAAATTTTTGCTCTTAAGCTCAATGTTTATGGTGTTTGTGCAGACCACCACCCTCCTGTCTCCATTTTTAGTAATGGGTTACATTTCCATGATTATAATTTATTTTTTATGAATTACATTTATATTGTTGCAGCTCTCATGGAATTTGGAGGGCACTCTACTACCTTGTGAATATCTGAGGATTTTCCCTTGGTTTTTTGGTTTTTTTCTACCTTTGTCCAAGATATCCATCATACCTTGACCTTCCAGAGACTTTCCACTTCATTTAAGAACCCAGTTCAAGGAGCACTTTCTTGGGGAAGTCAGCCTTTCTCAAACCCCCAGGTAGAATTAATCATGCCCTCCCTTAGGTCTTCATTGGATCCCATAAAGCCGTGAGACTTTTTCCAACCTATTAGTTGTTCTTATAAAGATTTGTTCATAAATGTAGCATTTTCTCCACAATTCAGGTGGTGTGATTCCCTTTCTATGCCTTTAGGGCCCAACATTATAGAAGGTCAAAATTGTGTTTGTTGAATTTAACTTCCAAATTCAATAGGGCTACCTAAGAGGGATACTCTAGTGTGCATCTATGGAATCGAATCTAATCTAATCTAATCTAATCTAATCTAATCTAATCTCTGTTTAGCCCAGGGAAGAAAATACCAAGAGGGGTATGATCTCAAATATCCCAAGGGCTGTCAGATTCTGTGCTCAGTTAAACACAATTAAAACAAATGGGTAAGAGTTGGAAAGAGAATGTATCTCAGTTTGAGAAATAACTTTCAAATAATAAATACTTAACCATGAAAGGGTTACCTTAAAAACAATCATGAGTTCCCCATTAAGTAACATCTCTAAGCATAGGCTGAACAAACCTATCAAACCTACAGAGGAAGGAATTCTTTCCTGCATTTAGAGGGTCACTGAATCAGATGACCTCAAAAGGATGTTTTGACCTTGATGATTCTGGTGCTGTTAAGGTATAATTTTCTTTCTTTCTTTTTTTTTTTTTAAAGATTTTATTTATTTATTTGCGAGGGAGCTCGATCCAGGGACTCCAGGATCATGACCTGAGCCGAAGGCAGTCGCTTAACCAACTGAGCCACCCAGGCGCCTAAGGTATAATTTTCAAAAAGGTTGAAAACATGACTCCCATACATGTATAGAATGAAGAAGTGTTAAAGATTTCATTCAGCTTTCTAATGAGAGAACTAGAGAAGTGGTAAAACCAGTTCAGTAAGAATTAGAGGAATAGGAATTACCTTCACAGGAAAAGACATTCTGATACAACTTTGCTAAGTGTGAGATAAAACTGGTTAATATCTCTACAGGGCAATAAAATTGTAAGCTTTAGGATTATCCTTTTTACTAGATGGAAGTTATTTGCATCTCTACTGGACAAGGTTTACAAGTTAATAGTAACCACACAGAGATGGACCTCTTATCTAATAGTAAGTAGAAAAAGCAAATAAAGTGACAATCCCCTAAAAAAGTTAATAATTCTTGGATGAGCTTGTTAAACAATGCCCCAGTGTATTAAGCTTCCCAGATTGCTGTAACAAATTACCACAAACTGGGGAGCTCAAAACACCAGAAATGTATCCGCTTACTGTTCAAGAGGCCAGATATCTGAGATCAGGGTGTCCCCAGTGCTGGTTCCTTCTGGAGGCTGTGAGGGAGGATCTGTCCTATGCTTCTCTCTTAGCTTCTCCTGGTTGCTGCCCATCCTTGGGGCTCCTTAGCCTGTAGACACATCACTCCCATCTCTGCCTCTGCCATCACAGGGCATTTCTTCTCTGTGTGTCTGTTTCCCTGTCTTTCTTCTCTTCTAAGGACACCAGCCATATTGGATTTAGGGCACACCCTACTCCGGTATGACCTCATCTTAACTAATTACATCTCCAAAATCCCTATTTCCAAATAGGGTCACATTCTGAGGTTCTGGGAAGGACATGAATTCACTCTGTGTGTGTGTGTGGTGTGTATTCAACCTAATATACCCAGTAAGAGAGTTAAGGGACACACCACCTACTTTTTTTTTTTTTTTGGCCTTATTTCCAAGTTTTAAAGACTTTTTCTTAACAACAGCAGTCACTTCCCCAGTCCCACCTCCACTGATGTCTCATACATTGTAACCGGAGTCATCCAGCTGAGGCTAGCTCTATATGTGTTGATATGATACAAAGGAAAGACACTAAGTATGTATCTAATAAAAAAGTAAGGTCTAGATCACATAGGGATGCTTGAATATAATCATACAAAAGGCTTTGATAATAATAATAGTGCAGGTCTCAGGTCACTCAGTTACCATTTTGGGAGAAGTCATTGTCATGAGCTGTTTGGGTATGTAATGTGTCCCTGGAATTATTAAGGCTGATTCAGGAGAGTAGGTCTTGACACACATTAAGAACAGAGGAGGAAATTTTAAGTTAAGTTTTAGGCTTCCCTGCCCTTTTTTGTTTGTTTGTTTAAATGATAGCTTTTTTTTTTTTTTTTTAAGATTTTATTTATTTGACAGAGAGAGAGATAGTGAGAGCAGGAACACAAGCAGGGGGAGTGGGAGAGCGAGAAGCAGGCTTCCTGCCGAGCAGGGAGCCCGATGTGGGACTCGATTCCAGGACCCTGGGATCATGACCTGAGCTGAAGGCAGACGCTTAACGACTGAGCCACCCAGGCACCCTAAATGATAGCTTTTTAATAGGATATCCAGTTAACCAGGATTTAGGATTTTTTAACAGAGGCGCTAACAGCACTTATCTGGGTTAGCCTCTGTAACAAGTGTCTTTAGAGTAAATTTTGGGGGGGCTGGAGAAAGGAGTCACGTCAAGGGCTCTTCAGCCATACAAATGTAATTTGAGTAGGGATCCATTCTCTGGTCATTTAATAGGAGCCTTTTTAGCTAGACTTTGTACTGGAGAACCCTGGCTGGTGGAGACAGTTCCTGAATTAGCAGGTGGGTAGATTTGGGAGTAAGGGGAGTGAGGCTCATCTGCTATCCTTTCACTCCTGAGATTCCATGTTGAGGCTTTTTCTGATGAATCAAGATGGCTCTGACCCAGCTGAAGTCAACTGATGGGAAAGGTCACCTAGGACTCAAATGAGAACCCATTTATCTATCCATTCACCTACCTACCTACCTACCTATCTACCTACCTACCTACCTACCTATCTACCTACCTACCTATCTACCTACCTACCTATCTACTTACATAATCTATTTATTTGGGTGAGGATGTATCTGGGCTGGTGAACTAGGCTCACCACAGGCATTAAATATTTGTGGTCTTCCTAAATCTGTTCTAGCAGAGTGTCATGCTGGAAAAAATGGCCGAGCATGTAGTTGAACTAAAGGTGATATAACCTTAAGGTCCAGGTGTAGAATATGACTGTGTTTGAAACCAAGAAGCCATAACTGCTAACTGGGCATCCATCAGGCATGGTGGCAGCCCCAGAGAGATGGTGCTGGGCTTGAGCTGCAAAACTCAGACTTTCCTCTGCCTGGGCCTAGGGGGTGGGCAACTGAACTTTGAATTCTTGGCACTGAGATGGCAGATATAAGGAAGCTTTCCAGAAGGAGGTAATGAAATTTCTGATAAATAGGGCAGGTAAGGGCTCAAGGAAGAAATTAGAAAAATAAAAGTGATAATGACCTTGGTTCTCCCCCAGGTTGGTAATATGGCTCATCTGGTTAGAGGACATTCGGTAACATTTTGCCTGATTTTCTTCTTGATGCAAGTTACCCCCAAGTAAGTGAATCTTTCCTTTTTTCTCTCCTTGATACAAAAACTCTGAGTTTCTGCCTAGAATTGTTATTTTATTCTGGAAAAACATTCAAGAGAATTGGGTAGAATTATTTTATTCAAAACAGATGATGATATTCTGTTTGTTTGCTTATGGCATTTGCCAGAGTGAGCTTTGTGTTACTCTTTATGGTATTTATTTTATAAAATGCTGTCATCTCTCCCAAGTAGTTGATATACAAAAGGACTAGGTATAATCTTGAACTGTTGCAAATGCTGTTATTGTGGTTTCGTAGCTCTTTTCAAAGTTGGCTTTATATTTTAAAAAGTTACTTATTGTAAAATATTTAAGTAAAGCGGAAAAATTAAGAGAGAAGATACTGGAAATTGTACTCATCATGATGACTATGTTGGTGCATATAGACACATGTAAGTATGTGTATACAGCTTTATATAAACACTGGTATTTTGCAACCAACAACCAGCATCATCACACAATAGTTTGTCATGGACACCTTTCCATTTTCATAAATGTGGACCTAGAGATCACTTATAATGATTGGAGGTTATCACAGTGTCTATAGCATAATTTACTTAATTAGTTCCCTATAAAGGCCATTTAGGTTGCTTCTGATTTTCCATCATTATAAACAATGCTGAACATCTCTGTGCCTACATTTTTGACATTTTTTGTAATTGTCATCTTAAGGTGGGGGCACCTGGGTGGCTCAGTTAGGCATCTGACATTTAGTTTTGGCTCAGGTCATGATCTCATGATCTCATGTGTCATGAGATCGAGCCCTGTGTTGGGCTCCTTGCTCAGTGGCAAGTCGGCTTGAAGATTCTCTCCCTCTGCTCCTTCTCCCACTTGTTCTCTCTCTCAAATAAATAAATCTTTTTTAAAAAAGAAAGAGCAGAAAATCTTTAAAAAAATTATCATCTTAAGGTAAACTCCTAGAAGTGGTATTGCTAGTAATAATATGCAAACATTTTGCAAAAAACATTTCTGAAAGGGTTATACCTGTTCATGTTTACTGTAACAGTCCATAAAAGCCTATTTCTCAATACCTTGCCCAAACAGGTTTTGTCAATATATTTAATCTTTGTCAGTCTGAGAGGCAGAAAAAGTTTACCTTTGTTTCAAAAATATTACAAATAGGGGCGCCTGGGTGGCTCAGTTGGTTAAGCGACTGCCTTCGGCTCAGGTCATGATCCTGGAGTCCCGGGATTGAGTCCCGCATCGGGCTCCCTGCTCGGCGGGGAGTCTGCTTCTCCCTCTGACCCTCCCCCCTCTCATGTGCTCTCTCTCATTCTCTCTCTCGCAAATAAATAAATAAAATCTTTAAAAAAAAAAAAGTAAAAAAATATTACAAATAAAATATTTAAAAAATTTTAAATTCATGTTTTCTGTACCCCCTTGGTGTCCAGTTCTACTCTATAAGATCCTCTATTTTATAGGGCACCTGGGTGGCTCAGTTGGTTAAGCGTCTGCCTTTGGCTCAGGTCATAATCTCCGGGTCCTGGGATGGAGCCCAGGGTCAGGCTTCCTGCTCAGTGGGGACTACTCTCTCTCTCTCTCCCTCCTCTGCCCCTCCTCACCGCTCGTTCTCTCTCTCAAATAAATAAATAAAATCTTAAAAAAAAATCCTCTATTTTAAATATTTTTACTTTTATTATTCATAATGACTATTTCTGTAAGTTTTTTTTTTTAAAGATTTTATTTACTTATTTGACAGAGAGAGCGAGCGAGAGAGAGAGATACAAGTAGGCAGACAGGCAGGCAGGCAGAGGGAGAGGAAGAAGCAGGTTCCCCGCTGAGCAGGGAGCCTGATGCGGGGCTCGAGCCCAGTATGCTGGGATCATGACCTGAGCCGAAGGCAGATGCTCAACAGACTGAGCCACCCAGGCGCCCCTATTTCTGTAACTTTTTTAAAAAGATTATTTATTTATTTATTTATTTGAGAGAGACAGAGATAACAAGAGAGAGAGCACGAGTGGGGAGGCGAGGGAGAAGCAGGCTCCCCACAGAGCAGGGCGCCCGACAGGGCGCTTCATCCCAGTACCCCGGAATCATGACCTGAGCCAAAGTCAGATGCTTAACCGACTAAGCTAGCCAGGCGCCACATCTATTTCTGTAACTTAATACTGTTATATCCCTATGTATTTATTTATCAGCTTTAGGGAACATATTGACTTCCTTTGAATTATCAAGGACATGTGTTCTCATGGTCCTTTTCTGCCTGTTTTTCTGCATCCATCCCTGCTGTATATCTATTTTATCCTACATTAATCTAGAGGCAAAAGTCAGTATTTGTTTGGATTTTCCAAAAAACCAAAAAATCCACTTATACAAATCTTTTATAAACAATATACATTCCCCACAGAGATTGGAGATAAGTTTACACTGAAGCAAAGCAAACAATTTTAATGGGCACAGAAGACATTCCCATTTTTAAAAGCTCCATTAGCTATCTATAGTTAATTAAAGATGGCAACCCGTTCTTGGTGATTCTCCCCACTAGAAGACAGGAGTTTATTTCCCGTCCCTTTGAATCTGGGCCATCCTGGTGACCACTTAACCAAGAGAATGCAGTGGAAATTAACCAGGGTCAGTATGAGGACTGGCAGAGCCTCTGCTTCCTCTCTCTTAGAATGCTTGTCCTCAAAACCTGGCCACCATGATGTGAGATGCTCTGTACAATATGCCCACCCAAGCTCCCAGCCAACTGCCAGCACCCACTGCCAGCCCTGTGAGTGAGCCTTCTTGGACATTCCAGTCTAGTTGAGTCTCCAGATGTTTGCAGCTCCAGCTGCCTGTGATAATGTGGAAATGGAAACTATATCCTAATGAACATGTGGACTTGGCTCAGCAGATTTCATTCGAGCTCCCAGATGTCTTCAGACCCAGCTCACATCATTTGGGGCAAAAAAAGCCTGCAGGTGAGTTCCAGACTTAGGGTAGACTGTGCGAGAGATGCATCGCTGAGGCATGCCCAATCACAGGCCCTCTACTTCATCTCACCCCAACATCACCTTCTTTTGTGGGCTCCTCCCCACCTCTAGTCCTTCTGCCGACGCCACCATCACTTCTCTTCCTCTCAAGAGGCAAACTAGCCAAATTCCTCCTCTGGTCTCATTGAAAATATTTTTCCCCACCCTGGATAATTTAAGCCTGCTGAGCCAGGTTCTCAGTGAGCAGGAACTTACGGAGGCAGGAAATTATTTTCTTCCATGTAATGTTAGTTCTCTCCCAAAGGAGGATTGAGGAAGTGAAACTTTCTCTACAGATAGATCAGGGATAAGTGACACTCACTGCTTCCCACACATTCATAACTGAACAACTTCTCTTCTTTCCCTTTTTCATCCCCTCCTCTTCTCTTTCCTTCTCTTCTTCTTCCTCTTGTCCTGCCTCCTTGTTCTCCTCACCCTCATTCCTCTCACACCAAGAGGAGGTAAAACTGCACATGATGGGATGCCCAGTTGCTTTTTCAGACCAATCACTGTTCCAGTTTCAAAAAACAAATGACCTCACTGCAGAACCCAGAGTCCATCAACAAGTGTTAGATGATGATGGAAATGAATTAATCAACACATTCATTAAGCACCTGTTCTCTGGAAGGTACTGAGCTAGCCAGTGGGGAAGAAATCAAAGATTATGTGACACTGGCTCACACATTTCTTCTCCCATTTTTATTTTCTGCACCTCATGTACATGGCAGTGACTCTCATTCTAGTCTATTAACTTAAACATGTTTACTGAGCGCTGCCGATATCTCGGGAACTATAGAGGTAAGCGCCTTTAGGAGGGTTCCTTTAGCTCCTTACATTCTCTCCCTGTACCAGTTTCCTAGGGCTGCTGTAACAAAGTACCACAAACAATAGAAATTCATTTTCTCATAGTTATGGAGACCAGAAGTCTGAAATCAATGTGTTGGCAGGATCATTTTCCTTCTGAAGGCTCTAGGGGAGGATCCTTCCCTTCCTTGCCTCTTCCACCTTCCGGTGGCTCCAGGTGTTCCTTGGCTTGTGGTGGTGTCCCTCCAGTCTCTGCTTCTGTCCTCAGATGGCCGTCTTCCCGCTGTGTCCGTATCCAAATGTTCCTCTCCTTATGAGGACACCATCCATGTTGGATTAAAGGCCCCTTCTGTTCTAATATGGCCTCCTCTTAACTTGATTAATTCTGTAAAGACCTTATCTCCAAAAAAGGTCATATTTTTTTTTTGGCAGAGGACACAATTCTATAACTCTTCTCCCCTTTCTTCACACATCTGTACCCTCCATCCTCATGTGTCTGCACCTCAGACCAACCTCCTCTTCATTTCTAGCTGTAAACCAAACCCTTCGTCTCTCCTGGTGGTGATGCTGCCTTCCTTGGAGGTGGATCACAGAGGCCCAGAGGTGAATAAAGGAGGGAAATGTCTTTAGAGTGACAAATGTCTCAGCAATTGCTTTCTCTCTCCCACTCTCTCGGTGTCCTGCCATCTTGAACATACCACCCACTGGTAAACACCCTGGAAGGAAAGAGCTGAGGAAAAAGAAGGGAGGTAAAGATGAATAAATTCTCTAGATAATTATAGCACACAATTAATCTAATTAAGCGAGTATTATTCAACCACTTTCATAATACCTGCCAGAAGGGTGTCAGATTTTGATGAAGTGCAGCAGTAGATTTCTAAATAAGTAGGAAAGGATTACAGTTCTTGACTTCGGCAATAAAACTTTTAATAAATCCATCAACTCCATCTCACCCATTTTACGTTTCCTCCAGTGGGTCCTGCCTTTACTGACAAGTAGGGTTTGCAATTGGACAGCAGGTCATTGGTGCCTAATACTTGAGTGATTTCAATCAGATCAACCAAAGTGCTGGCTCATGTAAATGCTGATGAATACACTTTATCATGCTGAGCCAGCTTCTGGTATGGAGAAGACGGTGCCTCTGGTGTCTGCTCTCTTCACTCATTCACACGAGATTGAGGGCTTGTGGTCAGATTTTAACGGACACAAGT